AATTATTATTTTTTTTTTTTTTTTAGATTCCCTCTTCTCAATTTTAATTCTTCGTTAAAACTTTTTTTTTTTCCTTTTACTAATATTTATAGCACCAAGTGGCAACAAAGCATTCCCTTACATTTGAAAAAATAAAGGAAGAAAGTTAAAAATTATATTTAACTAGCAAATTAAATTATTCAATTCTCCTTCTTCCTCGCCGACACTAAAAGAATCAACAAATAATCACTTGAAATCTAAATTACTCAAGTAATATAAATTCTCCATTCCCGTGCATTCTCGAAAATTTGCACGTACATTTCGGGTGGCGCCTACCATATCCTCGATATCCAATTAGATCCAATTTACCCTTTGTCCTCTTCGAGCGCGAAAATTAAATCAAGCGTCTCGAGCCTCGAATTGGTCCTCGCGCGCGAGGATCGATCACCCTCAATCCGCACGAATTCTTGCAAACATACTCGCGGCGAGGATATTTTTTTTTTTTTTTAAATTTCGATCGATCACATCCGACCACCTTCTATTTCCCTTATGTATACAATTCTCACTAGTAGTAGCTTTTCCTTTTTTTCCACCGTTTAGTTTTCACTTTTTTTTTTTTTTTTTTTTTTTAATAATAATCAGCCAAAGCGTGAAAGCGCAAAATACGATTAATGGCGATATTGCTAATCGAGTGTCCGAACGTCGTCTCTCAATGTCCGCGTCGCGGAATCATTCGTTTCTTCCTTTCTTTTTTTTCTTTTTTTCTTTCTTTTTCCCCTTTCAACTGTTTTATTTATAATTCATTCAATCATTTTTTCACTTTTCTCTCTCTCTCTCTCTCTCTCTCTCTCTCTCTCTCTCGCTCTCTTTCTCTCTCTCTCTCTCTCGCTCTCTTTCTCTCTCTCTCTCTTTCTTCTACCACGCACCGGAGAAGCAGCACCTTCGACTCGCGCGTGTCGTTCGACTTTGACTCTCTGCGTGGAATTATCGTCGCGACGAAATTATATCAGTTTCATTTCATTGATCCAGAAAATATAGATAATCGCGGGATAATCGTGAAGAATTTTATCTTTTCGAACGAAGAGAAAATCTAGATTTTATTATGAAAATAATTATTAAGAGCGAAGAGGAATCGCTTGAATCCGAATCTCAATTTTTGTTAATTCTCTTCTTTAAGAAAAATGTCTCATTCGATTTATTCTAGAGAAAAAAAGAAAAATTTCAGATCTTTTTTCTCTCTCTCTCTCTCTCTTTCAACAAGAAAAAGAATGATCGAAATTATTGCAATAAAATTTTACAAGTTTATCATTAAAAGAAAACCGAGATTCCCGATTCTTTAATCGAAAGGAATTCTCAACTTTTTTTTTTTTTTTTCTTCCTTTAAAGGCAAGTTGAACCATTCGCGACGACTATTCTCACCTTTAACCCTTCTTTCCTCTTTTTTTTCTTTTTTTTTTTCAAAATCCCTTCATTTCATCGCAGAGATACGGTGAAAACTCCCTCTATGGTGGCCGCCGTCGCGGCGATAATTCCGTGGAGAGCCCCGGTGTGTAAAAATGAACACGATGTAATGGAATTCGCGTAGTATAAAAGCTCTGAATTCCCGTGAAAGTAGGTTATGCGATCTTCTTCCTTCTTCTTCTTCTTTTTTTTTTTTTTTTTTTTTCCTTTTTTTTCTTTTTTTTTTTTTTGGTCGAGACGCGTGTTCCCAGGGTCGACGTTAGTTCCCCTGTCGCGCGGCCAAGATCTTATTTCGCGGCTAAATAGAAGGATTTCCTCGGGCACAGGCCGGTCGCGCTTCCGTTCCACGCGTTTTCCGATCGATCGTCTCGAGAACGACGACGAAGAGGGAACGCGTTTCGGCTTTTCTCTTGTCGTCTCCAACTTCTCTTCTTCCCTTTCCCCCCTCTCCAACCGGATCGTGGATCGTGAAATTCGCGAATCGAGGAACTTGAGATTTTCGAAAGTACGTCGTACGACACGTAAAAAGAAACGACGATCGCTTACGTGTCGGCCGATCGTCGGTGTGCTGTAAAAATATCGTGGAAAATGGTACGGTAGAGCTTGCGT